TTCGAAGACGTTGGAGTTGTAACGCAACATGACTGCTGGCTATGATCACGATTGTTCAGACAGTTTTTGAGACTTCCTTCCAAAATGCATGTTGAACAGCGAAGCAATTCTGCGAGATTTCCTTTAAAATTGTAGTTGGAAGACATGATCCAACCAGACATGAAAGTGCCATTTACATTGCGGGAGCGATCCTGAAGTTGCAAAACAATGAAATTCCAGCGACAACTCCTCCACCAGCAACACTTGCATGCACATTTACAGTGCGGAAACCATCCAGGAGTTGCAAAACGCAATGGACTTCCATCAACAGCACGTACACAAGAAACAGGTGAAAGCTCTAGTTACAATGGAGGGACGATTCCAACATGATCCGAGCATGACGCGAGACCGTCCCGCAACCGTCGTTCCGCAGAGCTTGACTTGCCAGGTTCGGAGCCATCCTTTGTATTGAAAAACACAACATTTCGTGCGTCCGATATCTCTCAAAAACGCAATTTGTAGCAGACCTCCTTCCAAAACGCATGTTGAACACCTACAAAACGAAGCAATTCTGCGAGATTTCCTAAAACATGTAATTGGAAGACATGATCCAACCAGACATGAAAGTGCCATTTACATTGTTGGAACGATCCTGAAGTTGCAAAACACAAAGAAATTGCAGCGACAACTCATCCACCAACAACACTTGCAGTCACATTTACAGTGCGGAAACCATCCATGATCCGAGCATGACGCAAGAGACGGTCCCGCAACCGTCGTTCCGCAGAGCTTGCCTTGCTAGGTTCGGAGCCACCCTTTGTATTGAAAAAACACAACATTTTGTGCGTCCGCAATTCAAAAACGCACGAGACTTCCTTTCAAAATGCATGTTGAAGAGTGGAGCTAGAGCTAACTAGAGCGAGATCCACCTGGAGCTTTAAAGCTGACTAGAGAGTTGACTGGAACTAGAGCTGACTAAAGAGCTGACTGGAACTAGAGTCTAGAGCTAACTAGAGCTAGAGCTGTTGAAAGTCCGCAACACGGACATTTTGCACCCTAAACTTCCTTTGACAAGGTGCAGGCTTCAACAAAGCTGCTTGAGCAGGAGTTCCAGTTGAGCAAATTGACACTTCAGTTATGGGGGGTGATTTCAGGTGTGCAAGTTATATTCAAGACTAACCTATTGTAATATATTTGTCGATATTCTTTGTTTTATTCACTGAATCATGACCGAAGTACTGCACAATGACTGCCTTGACAGATAGGAGGAAGGCGGAGAGAGCATATGTGTCTTAATGTTCAATACAAAAAGCCTGAGAGTATGTGAGTATGTCCAACATTTCGATCTATATATATAGTAACTTGTGCCGCTTGTGACATTTTTTGTTTCGTAACTATATCTAGGATTGCGCAGCCAGTGCATGGAGGAGGTAGAGCTACCGATTTGGTAGAGGAGTTTGTTCAGCTTCAAGACTGCCAATTCAACATTGAATGCAATGCAATGTTGGATAATGTGTTTGTGCATACATACAATTTTGTAGATATACGCTCAGTCTATTGTAATGGTTCAACTTGGCTCTCTCAGGTGACTGATATGGCAGATGGAAGTGACGAGGTAGGGTTCATATTTGCCAAAATATCTCCAGCGATCAAGATTGGTTGCTATTTGCGGTCTTCACTGTGACTGTGTGTTTATGATTGTTCATGTACTTGGTCGAGACAGATTGAGTGTGTGTGTGTGCACGTGTTCTTTGCACGTGGTTGTGAATTTTCACAGATACAGATTGTCGATGACAGTCGATTGTATATACTCACACCTGTCCAATGTTTACCCTTAGTTGAGATGTCCACTCCGCTCATACATCCTGCAATCTTGGGTTCGCACAGGGCAAGGAGCTCTCGCCAGAATCCACTGGCCAAGCGTTTGGTGAGGCAGAGCAGAAGGATGGCAGTTGTTTTGGGCAATCTGAAGAGCTTATGTTGCCTGAATTCTACAAATCGCTTCTGTTCTCCTTCCTTTTTCTTGATGAATGATTGCTTATTTTGTGTTGGATGTATTGGAATATGAAGCTTTATGATGCTTTATGATCTTTACGGATGATGATTACATCTGCACCAGAGAGCCTAAATTGCACGGCTTTGCACTGTATCAAAGCAATGGCCAAGCATTTGCGCAGAGTAGGCCACCAGCAAAGTGTAGCAATGTCGCATAATGTCGCCATCGAAGTTGTAAAGAAAGGTCTAGTTGGTATAGTTAAATGATTTTATGATATTATGAAAAGCAAGAAGGTAAGGCAGTAAGTCGGTGAGGCCCCTTTAAAGGAGGTAAGGCTTTCCTTTTTGAGTATCGTTTACTACCTTTTTTCAATACCAAAGGTGTTGGAAAGCCTCAGACTCAGCTGATCTAGGTCATTCGAGACTACACTCCGGATCCCAACGCGACGTGGCGAAATGGGAGACCGGACTACTTTCTAGCATCTTGGCGGAAAAGACGCTGAGTGTTATTTGATGTTGGGCATTGCTTTTTACCTTTTTCTCCAACATTCTTCAAACCACATTGATAGAGTAGAGTTTAAATTAAGACTCTTGAGCAGGTTCAACAGATTGCTCGGGGCTCTAAATCAGGGCGTAAGCCGGCACTTTTGCAATGTCCCCAAAGCTTTACTACAAATTGCCAAGTCGCAGCGTGCCAAGAAATGGAGTCTTCTGCAGGTAAATCGGACCTTCTTCGACCATCGATCGCTGGAGCACGAAGTAGGCTCACTGGAAGCGGTGGTCAGCAAACTGATAAAGAACTGGGACTCTTGGCACACTTCAAAATTGTAGCTGTCATTTCTTTTGAAGCTGTATGTGGCTGGTATTTGAAGCCTCGATGTTGTTTGCAGTTGGCAACTTGGTGACTGTTGGGACATTCATAATGTGGTTAGTGCATAGTGCGTATAGGCACTTCTTGGAGATACTGAGGCGGTGGAAGCCCATCACGTTGCAGACGTTCATTTATGGAAGACTATGGACATCTCCAAGTTTCAGGTAGGCTTTATCCAAGAGATACAAGCTTTGAGGGATGCTGCACGGTAGGCACATGGGGAACTGATCGAAAAAGACGTGAGGGAGCTTGCTGATTGACTCTTTTCACATTCCCAAGCTGTGCTGGTTCACTGCGAGGCTGCTTTAAATGGAGCATGCCCGTTCCTTGCCCAACAAATGTCAGACTTGGGATCGTGCAACTTGCCGCTTGGCTGCATGATTCGCACATCGAGACAAATTTTTAAGCTGATGGTCAGGGAAGTCAAGATCCCACCCGCTGGTGTTTTGCGGTGCAGGAGTGTAAAGTTAGAATAAATCGGAGTTATTGATTATATAACAAGAATGTGTGTGGAAACGCTACATTGCATAACTCATACCGTAACCCAAAAATTGACTGGTGAAGCTGTTGTGTCGTCAAGCATGATGAGCAAAAAAAAGGACGACAGAATGCAACACATTGCCTGCAATCGCCAATGGCGGTTACTCAGGGTCATATTTCATATAGACTGCTGCGCTTTGATTCACCTCGTTGTGTCCTGATTCATGTCATGCGACCCAAAAATCCAAACCACTCCAGGAGCAAGGATGCTACTAGGGGCTCCTGGCCTTACTACTAGGAGCAAGAAGCTACTAGGGGCTCCTGGCATCGCTACTGTCCTTACTACTTGCCAATCGCAACATCTTGGCAGCACAGGCACAAACCCTAGGCCCTAGGTGCCACCTTGCACACTCTGTCAGTACTGGCCACCCCGCTTTGAAACTTACACTGAACGGAACAGCCAGGGTAGCATGTGCTGTGCAGGTATGGTAGCTTGCTTCGAGGCAACTGCAAGGCGACACATTATTTTATAAATGATACATGATTCTTTGTTTTTGGTCCACTCGGACTGGGACTCCCAGCTTAGGTTTCCTTCACCCAAGTGTGACACCAGCACCATATTAGTTGAAATCATCCCCCTATGATTCCTATGATCTCCTATGTGTATCAAATGTTCAATTTGAATTACAACACGAAACAAGCCCCCTATTGTCCCAACCGTTGTGTATTTCGTCCGCCTTCAAGCCATGCACCGAGGTTCCTGGGTCAGACAAGAGAATACAATTGCCGCACCAGAGCTCAAACTGTGCGTTTGTTCCTTTCTCCGTGTAGAGAAGGGGCTGTCAAAGCCTTTGAAAGCCAGAAAGTTTGGGCCGTTTTGCAACGGATCTTTGCTTACTGAGGCATACATAGCTTTGAGACAGCTCAGAAGGCGCCAGCCTCCGGAGCACAGGAAACTTCCAAAGGGAGCACCAGGAACTTCAAGTCGAAACAGATTAAAGATGATTGAACTGAAATATACTCTGCCTGGTCTACCCGGTCAGTACTAGAAAAAAGCCAAGTATGTGCTGGGCCTGGGCAGCCGGGCCAAAGATGCATAAGAAACATGTTCCATTGAACATTTCAACAGAGCTGAAAACGTGAAATTGTGCGTTGTTTCGAGGCCAGTCCTTTTCAGCTTGGGCAGTCCTTTCCAATTCCTACTCTGGAACCAGCTCATTCATGGAACACATGTACGCCAGGCAGTAACAATAGAGGCAATAAGGCTAGCAGGTTGAAGTTGCCCTTATCAAAGTTCCTGGCCTTTTGAACCCTTCTGGAAGATAGACACAACCTGTGTGTTGTCGAGATGCAAATCCTGTGCGAGCGTTGGGCAGATCTTCCGCACTGCATTCCCGATGGGCTTCGCCTGGGAATGCCTTGAGGCACAGTCACACTTGCTTGTTGGGCAGATAAGTCAGGACAGCAGTTCCGGCCAAGGTGCTCTTGTTTGCACTAAATTAGGCTAATAGGATGTGCTTGGAGTTCAAGAAATGATGAACACTCAACAGTACGGACTACCACAATTTACTTCATGGTCGAGTCGGGACCTTCCATGGTAGATCCAAACTGTTTTGTTTGTATTGCACTCTCCCTGTTCAAGACCACTTCAATTCTTCAATTGACACTGGGCGTACATATTACGTGGAGAGAAAACTGAGAAAATGTGCTGAAGTTGTAAGCGCACGATGCTCTTGATTGTCGGTCACTATGAACGGTTGCAGTTGTAGACAAGCTTGCTTTACACTCTGAAGGTGTTCTCTGGGCCTCCAACTGCTTCTCGCTTGCAAAACCTTATCAGCCCTCATGAGACTGGCTGTTTCGTGTCCCACGCGAGTGTGTTAACCTGCTGTCAAGTTGCGATTTTACAATTATGTTTTGCAGAATCCAGAGCTTTGCTTAATCCACAGAGCAGTGAGCGCCCACCATATTTGCTGGAATCCAAGGTGGTCTTCAAATGGAGACACTTTGGGAAGTACACTGGCGTTTTCACTGACAAATCTGGGAAAAAGTACAAAGGCAATGGAAAGATGCTCAGCAACTTATCTGAAAGGACTATGTCAAACAAGTGGGAGAGTGCATTACTTGCGGTTGCTATTTCTTGGTCGAAATCCGCTGTCAGCGCTGTTTTCTCAGTACAGCTCTTTTTTGGCATATGTTTAGCCCGATTTCCACGGAAAACACGTGTGTAAGGCATCGTCGGCATGTGCATTGCAAAGGCGTGTGTGCACAATCTCAGATGCTGACAAATATGTACTTTTGCGAGAAAGAAGAGTTGTAGGACGACAGATTCGGTGGACTGCGCATCGGCTGGAATCTGTGCACGGCCAAAGAGAGGTAGTATGATGGTACGCCCGTCGCAATGTCAATGTCAGCCATTCCCCTACCTCGTCCACCTCACCTCTCACTTGCCTGAAGACCAACTGAAGACCGGACTTTGTGGCTGGCAGGTTAATGCTGAACTTCTGATCTCGGGCCTAGATGTTTACTACAACCCGGACTCTTGGGAGGCATTTGCTTGTGCACATGAATGAACATTATTCTTGGCCATTTATGAGTATAGCGATGATGTTCACTAAATCTATGGATTGGATCAAGCAAACAATTGATCAAATAACACATTGATTTTGTGCAATGCCCTCAAACCAGAGCAAGCCAAAGTGACCCAAAAAAAGAAAGAACAAGTATATATGAGAAAATGGTAGACTCACAACAGTAGCTTGCACAATGTAGTATCAGTATATGATGAGAGTCACTGAGTCACCATGCTAGAAAGCGCCACTCCTTACCTTTTTTGATCTTGCGTCATCGCAACACCCAGGAAGAACTCACTGGACTGTTAACTACAATGGTGGATTCCAATTGGCGGCCTGTTGGTGATGAAGAAGCAGTTTCTCAGACGGCATAGAATCGGAAGAAAGACCAACCCTGTTCGAGAATCTAGCAGGCTGGTGCTGCATTGTCAAATATGTTAAACATTGGAAGAGGTGTCTTACACTCAGTTCAACAGTTGCTGCTGTGGATTCCCAATGAAAGCGCAGCTCTGGAACAGATACCAGTCAATCTGGCTAGTTTGATGGCGGGCCTACCCCCAAGTCCTGTGACACTGTGAGCTTGGCTTGTCGACTGCCGTGCGCGTCCTATAGGGTTGGTTCCGCGCGCAACAGATTGATCTAGTGGGATCCACTTTTAAACTTGGAGTATTCCAGATCAGTGAACAAGAGGTACTCTTGTACTTGGTGGCACATTTTCGTTCATCATTTGTATAGATCGATGAAGGAGTTCCTGTAGTAGGCCTGCAAGCAAAAGGGCACTCCTGCAGCAAACCAGGATCATTCACTCATGAAAAGACAGCCATAGATGTTGAAGTCAGTAAGAGAATTGAGAGATGTTTTCAGAGTTGATACCTAAGAGCCTGAGAGTAGACTGCGGTGAGCTCGAAATCTCTCTCCTTTAGGAAAGCCTATGTGGAGCACATGACACGACAGCAACAGCAATGACACTGACAACTAGTAAATATCCATTGACCATTGTAAGTAGTGCCTTAAGGATCCTTCAGGAAGCTGGCAAGTAGGAAACCGTACACTGGATTTGAGACCGTTTCTCAGCCTGCGCCAGCTAACAAGGATGGGGCCGCTCAAGGAGGTGGCTGTCGGAACCTTGGTGGCTGTCGGAACAATGGGCATAATTCGTGCGAGGTCATGTAACAGAGCAAAAAGGCCTGTTGCAAAGCAAGATGCATTTCTGCGTGACTTGCAATGTCTACAGAGTGTGAAGCCAGCTTCAACTGATCATACATGATGAGAATTATGCTTCAAGTCACCAGAGGCATTCAATTTCACCCAATTTCACCCAGGCTTCCCGCACTAAGCAGACTTCTTATGACTTCTTAAATCTTGCTACATGCTACAATGTAAACATGATATCCTTTTGTTGCGTATTTTTGCACATCCTGCTTGTCGTTGGAATCACTGTGTGGCCATGGGATATTCTTGAACTACCCGCCAAATAGCAAGTGGCATGTTGAAGCCGAGTTCCATGAGTTTCCAACGAAAGGCCACCCAGAATTTCACTATAACTTCCCAAATGTCAAAACACCAGAGTGCGAATAGCAACTGTTAGCGTGCTTTTGGCCGGGGACCTCGAAACACAGGTCAAAGACCAGATCATGCTGGCCGTGAACGCAACCATGGTGGATTTGGATTTGGAAGAAAAAGCCGTAGACTCGTCGCCTGACATGAGCGAAGTAAAGGTTTAGGTACGACCATTTCACTACTACGTGTCCTGCGATCTGAGATGTATCAAAGCTTTAAAGTTGTTTCCAGGCAGTTGTTGGCTCACCAGTCTTCCTAGGGCCACGCTTCTGATATTTGCCATGAAGGCCATCACATGCAAAAATTGTGGAAAGCGCGTGTCCAAGATGCCCTCCACTTGGACATTAGATGATTGCTGCTTTTACTGTCCAGATTGCTGGAAGGTGCCTTGTCATTCACCTTGTTGTCGCTGTTTGGATACATTTGGCGAGTTCTCTTGCAAGATCAATATATATATATATACTGTATATATAATAGTATAAAAAATTGTCGATTTCTGTTGTGTGGTCGTATCTACGGAGAGTCAAATGAGACAAACCGTTGAAGGTTCATACTGAAGGCTCAAAAGTTGATCAGGGCAGTATTGTACCAAATTATATATTACGTATGTGTTTGACATGCTCGCTTGTCAGCAATGAAAGGACATGACCGGGTGCCTGCAGGAGACTATATACTAATTATATATATCCTACTATGAATGTTGAATATGCACGATGAAGTTTCGAAGCAAGCAAAGTCGGCCGCAAGCACTGTGTCAGTCAAGTGTAATTGTTTCCAGGAAACTGAAGCCCCCCCAAAGTTGTTGGAGACCGCACAAACATGAAAAGCACAACCATCAAATTATTTTCTTGGATGCTAATAAATAGATCATCGTAGGTTGGAGGCCATTGCTATTAGGGGGAGGTCGCCAAAAAGTAAAAATTGCGTTGTTTGTAGGAGAGCGTCCTTAGCGCAGCCGTGGCCCCAGGCCTTGGCCTGCCATTTGTGTGGTCATCACGATCCCAAGGGCATCGATTTCAAAGGGGCTTGGAACTGCCGTGTTTGCCGCCACAAGAGGCAGGTGAAGGAAACTTGGACAGAAAGTTCTGTGACCATTGAAGAAGAGTGAAGGTTGGATTCTGAATTTGAACTTGATTACAGTAATTACGGGTCATGTTTGTTCAAGCCTCCCTCCAAAGGAGGGAATGATCGTGACTGGCCTCGACTGGACTTGAGGAGAAAGCTGGCCCCTCGCACGCTGCGTTGCAGAAATTGATCATCGATGAGAGTGCAGACTGTTGCGCCTGGTCGGAAAATGAATAATCCCTTTCCACGTGAAGACTCTCGATTTTATCACTTAGGACTCGTGTCCATTGATTTCTTGGCACCCCTCCCGTCGGACAGGTACATCATCCATCAGTAGTGCGGCCAAGTGGGAAGCAGTGCTGCTCTTAGAGGCACCACGAGGGACCGTTGCTCTTGACAAGAGATGCTCTTCGGCAGAGACTGCCTTTGAGCTTTTGGCTGGCCGTGTCCAGTTCAATGCACAACTGAGGTGAAGGTACTCAGCACATTGGAGACTGACAGTGAAGATGAGGATGACGTTGTTTGCCACTGGGTTTATCTCCAAGTCACCTCTTTCACCTTCACCTGACTTGCATGTTTGCTCTCACTCGCCATTTGTCTTCCAGCGGAAGGCACTTGTCCTAGGTGACTTACCCGACAAGGCACCCAAGGCTTTGGAACCATACTCAAGAAGGAGGCATGTGGTTTTGCTGGTGGATGCTTCTGGGAGCATGCGCAATGAGGATGTCGATTTGGATACGGAAACTAGCAAGGACTGCTACTGTGCAAGCTGTAATGCTCGCTTTACACATAACCAGCCCGCACTTGTATTGCTCAACAAAACGATTTCTTGAAGCAAATTTCAACCGAATGAACGGCTGCAAATGTAGGGAGAAGTGCTGCGTTGCGCATCATGCCACTGGCAGGAGCTTGGTAAGGAGCAAGTTAACCTGAGCAGATTAGATGCTGCTGAGCTTTGTTCCACCAAATTTGCCCGGGAGCATGCCCAAGCCCGGCCGCACGATGTATTCTCAGTGGTGACCTTTCACGAAAAAGCTTCTGTTGTGGCCAACCGAATATCCTCAGCCGAGATGGCGCATATGGCTTTTGAGGATCGAGCTGCAAATGGAACCTTTTATGTGCAAGGCCTCAGTGAAGCAGCACGTCTTCTCAAAGCATCTCCGGAGTTGCAAGGAGAAGTTGTTCTTTTATCTGACGGCCGGCCAGCAGATACAAAACAGGCTGGACCTCCATTTGACATGTAAACCATCTCAACAATTGAACATGATTGGGTCTTCGACAACATTTCAGGCCTTGCAGTACTTCCAAGACCAATTCATTCGGGGACAGTTTGCCGGTGTCCAGCTGCATGGCATTGGATTCGGCAACCGCGTGGAGAGCTTTGCGGCGCTGCAGCAGTTGGCCTGCTTGACGGGCGGTACGTTTGTGCTCTCTGGGAGCACAGTCAGAGGACTTTGCAACGCGTTCTCCTCTGTGTCTTCTACGATCACAGCTAGTAGCAACAAGTGGGTCCTCGCCGAGGTTTGGAAGTCCGTGACACTGTGGACAAGCTAGTTTTGTCCAACGGCTCGGAGAATAGACAACTCGTGAATACTTGTGATCTGTTTTGTTTCTTGTCCTGGTCCTTTTCCATTTGTCTTTGCAACTTTGACTGACGAAGCATGAGATGATCTAACAATCTATAGTGCCTCAAAGCTCACAGCTCAGTGTTCTTGGTTCCCTCAAGGCAGTGGACACAACCAAAACGCCTCAGCTGAAAGTGGTTGACTTCGAGTTGCCGGAGGCGTGTGTGCACTGTGAGGATGATCAGGTTTGCAAAGCGTAAGCTGTAACTGGTCGAAGGTAACATACAATACATACATACTTAATTACTGATTGTACACTGCCTATGTTTCTTTCACTATGCAACTCATGTAATTCTACGAATACTGCGGCCATGAATAATTATGCGAATGATTCTTGATCCAAAAGAGTACAATAATGTTGGAAAATGTTATGATATCCATTCCCGGCTCCTCCCCCTGTGATTTCCTTTGTACATGCGCAGCTTAGGGGAGGGAGAAAGAGCGCCAGAGTTGTTTTCACCCTTTGGAGTAAAAGTCAGAATTACACAAAACGTGTTGCGAATAGTTTTCAAGGGCCTTCAAGCATCGGAAGATCAACAAGGTGGACAGTTCATGACAGTTTTTTTTCTTTTTTTATGAGTGTTGTTTTCTTACACTTTGATCTTCGGATGGCCCTGAGGTGGGCATCTTCGGCAAGAAGCACGTGCTGCGGTTCCATGCAGCCCGCATCTCCTTCAGTCTCCTTGCTGTGTTGTGTACATGTAGTGTGTGTGTGTGTGTGTGTCCACACAAGCAACTTGAAGAAAGACTCATGATGCTGATGCTGAACCTTCAGGACATTTCAGGACTTGAAAGTTGCAGAAGTTTACGTTCGCAGTAGAGCAAATTTGCGAAATTGCTCCATCAAATGTCAGAGTTTTAACGAGACCAATTCAGGCTATGATGGCGCGGCCTTTCACAGGCAAGAATTCGCTGCTGGTCCTGTTGTGCGGCGGCGGATGCCGTACATGCGAGGAGGGATGCGACTCGTGTATGGCTTTCAAGATGAGGAAGTTGCGAAGAATGGCAGCTGGATGGTTGCAAAGTGCTCACGCTACTCGAATGAGATCTTGAACTCACAGCTTGCTGTGGAAGCGCACGCCAAATCAACTGCAGTTGCCAGATACTTTGCTGCACGCTTCAATGGACGCCTGCAAGCTCTTGGTGGGGAAAAGTTGGCGACTCTCCTTTTTGTGCCATGCTTTGTCTACAAAGTTGAGGGCGATGCCCCAATAAATGAGCCAAAATGCTTCGCAGCTGAGCGGTATTTGCCAGGAGTTTTCCTGAAATACAACTCCAACAATGGTTACGTGGCAGACGCATTGCTTCACAATGACGCCGTTCAATCATTTTTGCACTTTTCCTTCGAAGAGTCTGGTGGTCACTTCATCGTTGCAGATCTACAAGGTGTTGCCAGAGAGTCTGAGGTGCTCCTCACAGACCCGCAAGTGTTGTCCCTCACACGGGAGTGTTTCCGCTCGTTGTTAAGATTGTTTTTTCCATGTTTGTCCTTCTTTTGCAGATTTTGTCATGCGATTACATCTATAGTTGAAAAGCCAGGTGTTTGTTTCCACGGGAAAAGCCACGTAGTTTATTATTTCCAATTACCTGGAGACATGATGTGAGGGGAGCCAAGCTTTGACGAGGTATGGTGCAGGCGACTTGGGAACGAGTGGGTACTTGCGCTGCTTGCGTGCGCACCGCTGTGGGCAAGCCTGCAACCAATTGCATTGCATCAAACAATGTTATTTCTTGATTCCTAGACACCGCTGTCGGAAATTGTGTTTTGGCACTTGTGAAGCTTGAGGAACTTGAGGTTTGTTGTGTCTTAATGCCTCTGCAGGTAAGAAGCTGGGTCTCACACCTATCAGCTCCTCGAGAATGAAGCGCATCGAAAGCACTGCAGGAGCTCTCAGTGGAAGCAGCTGGCAACAAGTGAACCACACCAGCCAAGTCCATTCTGCAAACAGCTTCGGAGACTGGGAGAAAGTCAGTGAGACTGCGGCGGCTGAGTACACAATGAGCCAAGGCCAAGTGTCGAAATATTCAAGGGTGGTGGCAGATTCCGTATCATAGCATAGGTTCGGGTTTCTTGTAGGACGGAACACATATGCAGTGCTATTTGGACATGAACGAGCTGTAAGGAAGCTGGCTTCAAAGCTACCGCGCGAAAACCCTGAGGAACGTCATCATCAATATCCTCTTGGATGCATGTCAATCATGACAACGATAAATAGACTGGTAGACCTGATCGATTCACGGCCTGAATTAGCAAGCCAGGAATCAGGAAAGCTTCCTGTACAGAACTAATGGAGCTTTTGGGTCAAATAATCATAAATATATTATTATATTTAATAAAATTTGATTTTCGATTATATATTCGATATATATTTAATTTTAATATTTATTTCGATAATATATTAATTATTATAATCGTTTTTGAACAATATTGATATAGATAAATATATTTGGTGAGGCCCTGGTGGCTATGCGGTTGGATTGATTGCGACTCGATTTTTTATCGACATGGCCATTAACATATAGACTAAATATATGACGATGGGGGGGGAAATTGTAATTACGAACACCTATTACCCGGAACACGATCGTTTTTAGTCTAGCCTTTATATTAACTAAATCACTCCGTCTTATGTTATGAGGTCGGTTAATTCTATCGATAAGATTATTACGATTGCGGCTTATACTAATTCCATGAGCCCCATTACATAATCGCTCTTTTTAAACCTAGTGTTCGTTATCGCGTCCTTACGCCTACGGATTAGTTAATAACAACGAATTAAAAGATCCTATCCTACCCTTATTTATTTAGGTAATTAGCTTTTATTTAATAGGAACTTATAGCACTTTGCGATTATTTTACCTTTATATTATTTTCCTCGATAATTTCCGTTATTGTATCCGTATTATTCGGAAGTCGACGCTTCTTAAACCGCTAAGCCTCTTCGATCGTTATAGTTAAAATTACAAGAATAAAGCCCGATTAAGTGTTAGAATCCGCTATTATTTAAAGTGGTGTAGGGACCGGCGCTTAAACGTATTTTTCCTAGGCAAATTAATCTATAAAATGTAAAATGGATACGAAAACACTAAATCTATAAAAGTGTAATAAATATATAAATATGTTTTTAATTACCGCGTATACAAATTTACATAAATTTATTAATATACGACTTTGGGAATTATATAATATGGCGGCGGATGATAATGAGCTTAATGTGACCTCCGCTGTTGATGGACGCCCCTCGGATTCGAGTCGGTCGGGTTTGGGGAGTAATGGAAATTAGAAGAGTTTTTAATTATATCGGAAAATCCCTTCTATGTATCTACCCTCCTTTTTAGCCAATGGGGATGAGTCTTATATTTACTGGAAGCGCGCGGTCTAGTGCTGGATCGCTGGGGAAGGCGGGTAGTTGCTCGAGGATGTGATGGGCTCCCGGTGTTTATCGGTTTTGAAGGGAAGAGCAAACGTGATTGTAAGATATCTCAAAATTAAAGAAATGAGCAAATTTGGGGGCTTACCTTTGGTCTTTAAGGCGTTGGAAGCGTCTCCGCTGGTTAAGGAATTAGATGGGTAATGGGGTGAGAAAGCTCAGCGGGAATTTCTCCGTTGCCGTCGTTAATCGGGGGAGTCCATGGAGTCCTTTATTATGAGGGTTTAGGCACAACGGTCGGTTATGGAAGAAGAGGATGCCCAATTTGCTGTCGGTGACCGCTTCCTTATGGGCTATATCTTGGATTACGCCGAGCTGACCTTGAAGGATCGTGTCATGGTACTTGCAGCGGCCTAGAACAAGATGATTTTAGAGAGTGTATTTCTTGTACTTCGTAGGATGGGTCCATTTCTGCAAGGCACGAGGAGGCGGAGGAGATCCAACCACAGCAGCCGCATCGGAAGCAGGCGGCCGGGACTCGCTTGGATACTTCGATGGAGAGTGCGCCAGCTGCCTCGACAAGGGCAATCAAAGTCAAGTCCGAGCCGAAGAGCAAAACCAAGGTCAATTCCAAGACCAAGGACAAGAAGGAGATCCGCTTGGAAATCACCGGCCAGTATGCGGACTTTCCCGTGTTGGGAATGACCCGCAGCCACGATGTAAGATTCAACATGAGCTGGGTGCTGCACGGCCGGCTGGTGGTGCACAAATGGAAGCAGCTGGTGTGGCTCTTGCGCTCCCGAGTGGCCATGGAATCCTACGAATTCCCTTGGAAACGCCATCCTCGCTGGCTGGCCATGATGATGAGCAAGGAGGTGGCGGCCATTTGGGGGCATGAAGACCTTGAGCGGCCCTCGGGGTCCGCCGCTGCTGAAGTGAGGGGTGAGGCAGTAGCGAACGGGGTTCAGAGCCGAGGAGAGCAACGCCGTGGAAGCGCAGTCAAGTTCAAGTGTTGAAGAGAGGTGCAAAGTGTTATTCATCTGTTTTACAACATTTGGCTTTTATTGCTCACAAATCAACAGATCATACTTGGCGTGTATTAGAGATCTTTGGAGGCAGTGCAGCATTGTCGCTGATAGCCCGCTCCACTGGGAAATGGTGTGCCTTGGAGCCTGTCGACTTACTCTATGGATCTGATGTTCTGGATCCCAAAGAACGAAAACGGATCTTGCAACAGATTGATGAGTGGGAACCGGATCTTGTGTGTCTTGAATCGCCGTGCGGCCCTTGGTCCTCTCTACAATCACTCAATCCCCAAGAAGTTGTTCATTTCAAACGAATGTTGCATATGCCTTTTTGGGAATTTTGTGCAGTTGTCTGGAAGAAATAATATCGTGCCGGTCGTTTTGTGTTGTTGGAGCAACCTTTTCGCAGCATGGCATTGAAATTAGATTGTATGATTCAAAGACCAAGTGTACACAGAGCCGTTGTAGATCAGTGCATGTTTGGATTGCAAAACCCATGTTCTCATTTACCTTTTCAGAAGCGCAGTGCCTTGGACGTCAAATCTCCTGTGTTCGTTGCAGCTTTGATGCAGGGCTCGTTGGGTGATCGTAATCACTCCCATCAGACCATTGAAGGTCAGGTCTTTTCTCATGGCAAGTGGATGAATCGCTCCTTGGTGGCAGGCACCTGGACACCCCAGTTTGGCCGCCATATACTGGCAGCCTGTGCTGCGCTGGCCCTGTCTCAAGCTGGCTACTGGCATCAGCGGGAGCATGGTGCTCATGTCTTTGTCACCCGCTTCGACAAGGGGGATGGAGGCGAGTGTTTCTTGTCCAGACCATCGTCGGCTGCTCCGTGTGACTCGGCGGGATGCTATGAACTGGGAGAGCGCTGGTGTGACACCTGTAAAGGGGGTTGGTGCAATCAATGCTTTGTGACTCATATTTGTGAACCCCCCCCACTTGTCGAACAAATTGATGAGCATTTAGCCTTTGCGGCATCCAGTGCCGCTGATCAAGAACTAGAGGAGGAGTGTTTGGATCAGGCACCCGGGGCAGAAGAGCTGAAGACAGAGGTAGCCATCAATCATCTGTTCCGACGGCTTCATTAAGAAGAAGATCAGCGCCGTGGCGACTATTCGGGAGTGGGCAGCCGTTATGGCTATGTTCGTTTTGTTGGGCTTCACTGAGGGTCAACAAGGTCATCCGGAATCAGGTGGCCAAGTTACATGGTACCTTGGGGCATCCCTCCAATGATAGACTAGCTCGGATGCTGAAGTTGAACGGTGCCACCAAATAGGTTGTTCAAGCAACGCAGGACTTGCGTTGTGAGGGGTGCAGTCGGATCCATCCACCAACTTCAATGCCCAAGTCGTCGGCAACCAATCCAGAGCATTTTAACCAACACGTGTCCTCCGATTCCTTTTTCTTGTTGGATAGTGAAGGGGTGCGATGGAATGTGACTCATTTGGTCGATGGTTTTTGCGGGCTACAATGTGGTGTGCTCTCCAAGAATCCTTCCTCGGCCACAAGTTGTGAGTATGTTCGGGCTTTGTTTGGAGAGATTCTCCAGGAGAATTTCCAAGTGCGCCGCTGGGCTGAGTTTGTTCGAGGGTGGGAACTGCTTTTGGTCTTGGACGCCAAGACCGCATACGACACCCTGGCCTCAGAAAGTTTACCCAGGATCGTAGGACAGCGCTTGACCTACTGGCCATCAAGGAATCCCTCCTGGATGACTCCAACCATGCCATGTGTCGCTGGGTGCCTGGCCCGTAGCAGTTGTCTGACGGGCTGACCAAAGACAAGGACAACCACGTGTTACTCGATTACATGAATTCCAACACTTGGAGCCTGAAAGAAGATCCCATTTGGCAGGCTCAACGCGAAAAACAACGTGGAAGCCAGAAACTGTACAAAGCCAAAGTCCGTGCAGACCGGGCCCTACAAACCGGGGATCCCGGGGTGAGTTGAAAGGGCAGTCACACGTTCATTGCACTTTCATGGATTTGGTGTTTTCCGTAGCCGCTCTGCACTCTGTGGATCTGCCTAGGAGAAATGCGTTTGAGCGCCGGCCCCTGCACCACTTTAAGTGCGACGGAGTCGGTCGATTTAATTTATGTAGATCCGTGTATGCGATGGAGCCGGTCGATTTAGTTTAACCAATATATGCCGATTTGTGCGTGCGACGGAATTGGTTAATGTAGATTGTTATTGATGTGATATTTAAGGGTAAAGGGGTTGTGGCATTTATGGGATTATGGTTTTTGTTGGGCTCCCGTATTTTAGTGTGTTGTGGGATGTAGTGGGATTTTTGGCGCGATATTTATTGGGTAAATGAGATGTTTTTTTGTTTGAAGTTTGGTGGAAGAGATTGTTCGTATATTTGATGAGATTTGTAGCGAATCGTATAAATAGGAATAATGTAGTAATAATCGATTTTATAAATATAAATGGAATTTGGGCATCATTTTTGTTAGTATTAATATGGGATATTTAAAGGCTAGGTATAAATCAATTATTAAATAGATCAATACCCCCTTCGCCAAATTGGAGGAGGGAACTAGCGCTTTAGCAGATTGCCGAGGTCCGTGCAAGATCCCGAAAGCTTGCTGGCGAATAGACAAGTTTTGGTGTGTTACGACGTGCTGGGCCCGACCCTCTGGCACGAGCGATTGGTCTTGCATTACATCACCAACGATGATTATGTGGTTGCTTGTCTTGATTCCGAGGTTTTTTACGAAGAGCTATCTCTATTGAATCCAGATTTCGAAGGGATACGGCTCAAGCTAGGTTCCAATGTCTTGCTTCCTGGGATTAACGCTGGGGAGGTTTACCCCCTCC